GATTGGTGCACTCCATGCATAGACGCTGTGCTGTAGTTTTTGCCGCTCGTGGTGGTCACACTAGATACTGAAGTCAAGGGTCTGAATGGACTGCAAACGTTAACGTAATGTCTTGGAATTGTGCTGAGTTATTCATTGATGTGTTAGGATATTGTACACAGAAAATGTTTTTGATCCGCTTATTATGTCCATTTCTGTAATGATTTCATTACAGTGCCTATCTAATTTTGAACTCGTACTGACGTGTGTTTTTTGCTGCTGAGTATATATGTTTATCGTAATAAAGTCAGCTGTTGACATGGAGGTCATCCTTCCAGATCCTTCATCCTATCAGAAATACTTGATCGTCACAAGTAACCCTAGTATAGTGACTTTATGCATATAGACACTTCATATGTAAATGTACACCATAATTGCCTTTTTGGTTGACAGCCTGTGCATAGATATACTCCGCAATGGGTGTGATAATGATATTTATGGAGAAGCATCTGAACTTTAAACTTTATGAGTGAAAGACTAATCTGGATTATCTGCCACACTTGGCCTTGAGTCTAATGAATTAAAGATTTTATTGTTAAAAGTATCCAAAACTTTAACCTATGAAATATTGTCCTGGAGTTCTTTTACCACATAGTATGTGCATTTTCAGTCAGTATTGATCAGATGAAACCATAACATATTTATCTTTTGTCATGGAGCTCCATATCCGAAAACCTGTCTGCTACCTGCCATTATGGATGGTAGGAGAATTTATATATTTTGGGCATATTTAATCTTAATGTAAATTAACTAGTTCTTCTCTTTTCGTGTACCTGTATATCATTAAATGTACAATTACTGGTTTGTAATGATTGGCTATGCTGACTATGTAAGAAAAAACATTGAAAATAGTACGGCATTTTTTGTCTACTGCACATGCGCACACAGCCCAAAACAAAAACCCATGTGCCTCCATATCCGAAATTATGAATGAAATGTTCTTGAACCAACTTTTGACCACCTTTTGTGCTTTTATCATTAAATGCACATTTTTAATGGAAACTTGATCTTAGCGGCTTCACTATATAAGGGAGACGGGCTGAGATCTGACCAAAACGCGGAATTGCGCTCTCGGTTGTTGGTTCATGGTGGTCACGGAAGATAAAGATCAGGGTTGAAGTTTAGACGACAGCAGCAATATATACTCTTCAAAAAAAGAAACTTGACATGCTGTTTTGGAGTTTAATTACTGAGTGTATATAACTGATTCAAACATTGCTCAGTTACAGTAAAATCATCACTTTACAAATTTCCAAAACATGATTATCTAGAAAGTGTTTGGTAAAACCACAGAGGGCTATTTAAGCCACTTGGTCAGAGTAAAATGTCAGTAACTGGTGTGACCACCATGAGCATCGATAACAGCTCGGCAGCGGTGACCCATAGAAGAAGGGAGATGCCGAATGCTGTCTTGAGGAATGTTTTGATGCACTTGCTGAAGTGCTGTGAGCAGTTCGTGTAGTGTCTGAGGTGGCGGATTACGCTGGCGCAAGCTTCGATCAAGAGTAACCCATAGATGTTCAATGGGGGACAAATCCGGTGATCGAGAAGGCCAAGGTAACAACTGAACATTGTTTTGCTGGAGGAGGACCTGTCAAACACGTGCAACGTGAGGTCGAGTATTGTCATGCTCCGAAGATCCCGTTGACGTAAGGAACGACGTGACGTTGATCTGGTCTTCTGTCAAAAAGTCTGGCTTTCCATAGCCAGTTGCGCACTGTCTGGTCGGAGATTCGGAGCAGTCCAGGGATTTGGATTGTTGTGGATGATGCGGCCGTGGTGTTTGAACGAAAATGTTTCAACCGGATGTAGCGATCCTGGGCGGCGGTGGTAACTCAAGGGCGACCTTTGTATCGGGTCCATAGGTTTGAGATGGTCTGTCTGGACACGCTGAAGTGCCTTGCCACATCATGCTGCGATGTCCGTCCTTGTAAACGGCCGATGGCGTTGAGCTTCTGTGAGTCTTTTCATTCTCTTTGTCGTCTATAGTGGCTGAAAGCACTGACGTGGCTTTTATTAAAGCATACAGTTATAGGCTTCAGCTCAGGGTGATACACAATTTCATGATGCTCGTGCATTTCATGTAGGGTGCGTTTTAGCGATTCACTACAGACGTGAGTGTAACGTTACGTTTTTGTTAAACGTTTCTTTTTCAAACGTTTTGTCGTCGGCAACCATTCCCCACATGCTGGGATTCAGCATGGATTGGTTTGTGTCAAATATTTTCCTAAAAATTCAAATTTGTCCTATGTTAAGTTTGTTTTGTTTTTTGAAGAGCATATGTATTGCAGCTGGGTTGCAATGGTACAAGTAACATAATTCACATGACAGAACGCACACTGGGATCGAGTGGCCAATGTTCCTGGGGTGGAGACCCGTTCTGTCATCTACACACAGGAGGAAGTCGGACAGTGATTCTTCATCAAGTTGTGGGTGGAAGCGGCGGCTTTGCCGAGAGAATGCGCCCGCTTCCGTTGATGATCTGGGCCCGTCTTGGTTCAGCAGCATATCAGTCACAGTCTAACAAGTCAAAGACGTGGAAACGTGTAACGTCTCCTCCGACAAAGAAGGCTGAGTTTGTTCCATAATCGATGTGAAAGCTTCCATTTTTTGCGATTCCCCAGGAACGATACTGGCAGGGGCGGATACAGCTTTTTGTGAGGGGGGTGAGGGAGGGGTTGGATCCACATATGACTGGTTGAGTTGCACCCAACATTTCTGAGCATCAATGACCGATATTGTTGTAATCTTCTTAGTAGCTGTTTGGCCATTGGAAGCTGGGATTTTGCGGAGTGCAGCATTAAACAAACATACCTGCTCCAGAATTTAAAAAGCTAAACGGTGTGGACAAATAATTAAAGCACAAGGGACCTGTGAGTTGTTGCCAATGCTGCAATGCATTGTTGTAGCTTTAACCTGTTGAACATCATGTATACTCACCAGACTTGACGCCATCAGATTTCTTGATGCAAGACCTGTCACGTAAGCATATCATTTTGCCGTTCAGGACACCACCAGGAGGAAGCCTTCAACAACAGTGGGCCCCAGACTCTCCATCGGAAGTACTCCATCAAGACACTCCATCATCCTTGGGCTCAGTCTTTCAGCCAAGCTACACAGGTGTCATTATAACTCTGCAATGACTGGACAACACTGTACGTGATTGTGTTTGTAGCTGACCATTGTGTATACAAAGCTCTAAGTACTGACAATGGGGAATCTGATGACCTATAGTGCTCCAAGGATCTCTTCAATCAGTGCTTGAGGAACTCTCCGGCTGTCAAAATCTGTAAGGAGCTTTAAGGAGCTCTCTGGTTATCAAAATCTGTGCTTAAGGAGCTCTCTTGTCAAAATCTGTGCTTAAGGAGCTCTCCGGTTGTCAAAATCTGTGCTTAAGGAGCTCTCTGGTTGTCAAAATCTGTGCTTAAGGAGCTCTCTGGTTGTCAAAATCTGTGCTTAAGGAGCTCTCTGGTTGTCAAAATCTGTGCTCAAAAGAGCTGTTGAAAGGGTTTTCAAATTCTGTGCTTAAGGAGCTCTCTCACTGCTCTCGGTTGTCAAAATTGTCAAAATCTGTGCTGAAAGAGCTGTTCGGTTTTCAAATTCTGTGCTTAAGGAGCTCTCTCATTGTCAAAATCTGTGCTGAAAGAGCTGTTCGGTTTTCAAAATCTGTGCTTAAGGAGCTCTCTGGTTGTCAAAATCTGTGCTGAAAGAGCTGTTCGGTTTTCAAATTCTGTGCTTAAGGAGCTCTCTGGTTGTCAAAATCTGTGCTGAAAGAGCTGTTCGGTTTTCAAATTCTGTGCTTAAGGAGCTCTCTCATTGTCAAAATCTGTGCTGAAAGAGCTGTTCGGTTTTCAAAATCTGTGCTTAAGGAGCTCTCTGGTTGTCAAAATCTGTGCTTAAGGAGCTCTCCAGTTTTCAAATTCTGTGCTTAAGGAGCTCTCTGGTTGTCAAAATCTGTGCTGAAAGAGCTGTTCGGTTTTCAAATTCTGTGCTTAAGGAGCTCTCTCATTGTCAAAATCTGTGCTGAAAGCTGGTCGGTTGTCAAAATCTGTGCTTAAGGAGCTCTCCAGTTTTCGAATTCTGTGCTTAAGGAGCTCTCTGGTTGTCACTTCAAGGAACATCAGGGAGTGCAGTAGCAGTTGAGAGCACAAGTGAATATTTGTTTTCTTGAAAATCATTGTTTTGTCACATTACTCTCTGTGCTCAATTTGTTTTCTTGAAAAACTGTTTTGGTGGGCAGAATGATGATTCACATAAATATTTTTAATATTTGTCATGGGGGGATGGGCTGTAAATATAATCTGGACAAACCTTGGGCAAATGAGTATGGTTTAACGCCGCTTTTAGCAATATCCCAGCAACATCACGGCAGGGGACACCAGAAATGGGTTTCATACATTGTACCTATGTGGGGAATCGAACCTAGGTCTTTGACACAGCAAGCGAACGCTTTAACCACTTAGTTACCCCACCAGCCCTGGACCCATAAGGTTGTCTCTTAATACAGACAATGATACTGGTGACCATTTCTTAACTGGAATCCACACGCCAGACACAAGGTCAGAAGATACAGCCGTAGACGCGCGCAAGCAACAATACAAATTAATGCTCACTCTGATAACATAATGGAACCATCCAAAACAAGCCTCCTACTTGCAGGGATGTGTTTCGTTTTTAAATAAAAAGCACATTAAATGTTACCCAGTGGTCTGGGTGACCTTAACATTTATGGATAAATCATAATAACAAATCCATGGAGATCTGCAATAATATCAGAATAATCTTACAGCCCAGCTGGGTACCCATTCTGCGCTAAATATCCATCAGTGTGACCATATCATTACCACCAATTCATAACTGAACTACTTGAACTTAAAACAAAACTAAGCGATTGATTCAACAAATTTTAATCACCATATGTGACCAGATTACTTATTTTATTACAAATTTGTTAGGACGTGTGAGGAGGGACAAAGTGGTGGAATCATTTCAATACTAATAGCACAATAATTTATGATCAAACATTAATTTTTCAACTGGTTTTCATCCATTGAATTACAACATGTTATGGAGTGTGTTGATTTGGATGGTTTGTTGTTTAACCCCCCTATCAGCAATATTCCAGCTACATGGAGTTTATAAAATATTAATATTTTACATATACATTACAATAGTTACCATGGTTACAAAAGGAAATAGCATTTATGCAAATAAATATATAATATTGATTACATGTACACTGAGAGAACTCATATGTATCATAATTTCTTAGGAACATGTGAAATAATTGGCTTTGGTCGTGTCTTGAAGAGTATCTTCTTCTTTATGATGGCTTCAACAACATAGCCATTATTTGTTTGATTGGTTTCCATAGCAACATCTCCTTGTGTTTGTGACTGCTTGGCCAACACAGCAAAGGGCTTTTCCAGGTCCACAACTTTTCCATATAAGATGTGATGTCCAATTATGAGAACAGGTGCATCCTTAGAAAACAAGAGGACAATGTATAAATAGAGGATACTAAAACAACCTTCTGTGCAATACCATTCATATTAAACAAGTTAATGATTTGGTATCCTAAATCTTTCACAAGTTTAATAAAATGGTATTTCACGGAGGCGAATTTAGTTTTCTGTTTATTACTCTCCAACATAAATTGATAGAAACTGCCTACAGTGTGATGACTCTCAGCTTTCCTCGAGTCAAGCAAGGTTTAATACCATTGTGACAGAGGTATTAGCATAGTACTGCTTTGATAAACTTGAAATGAAGATATCACACAAGAAAAGTAATGGTCATTATTCACATGGTTGCTAAAATAGAAAAATACATTAACTGACTGATGATTACGAACCCTAACCTAAGGTCCTAACCTCAGCATTTTCTTTCACTGGTCAGCTGTTCATTATCAGTGAGTGAGTGAGTTTAGTTTTAAGCCACACTCAGCAATATTCTAGATATATGGCGGATTCATTATCAAGTCTTACAACATACAGATGTGCTGACATTTTCAAAATGGCTAAATATAAATGTCATTGCGGACATTTATATTTAGCCGCGGACATTTATATTTAGCCGTTTTGAAAATGTCAGCACATCTGTATCGGTGTGACGAGCCAGCACTTTAACCACTAGGCTACCCCATCGCCCTGATAACGACATGCCCTTTTGAGTCAAGTGAGCTAAACATTGAAGCATATTTTACCTTTTTAGTGAAATGCAAATCACCAATGAACTTTCCACCAAGAGGCACGGGATGTCGAGTTTCAAGGGCGCCTTGGAGGTCAATAATGGCCCACTCTGGACAATCCTTGGCACCACCAGGTCTGGAGATAAAACACGTGAAGACAATAACACTTCTCATATCACGCCAATGGCAGTTATTACAAGTACAAACTCTTCTGTGATCAGCTTAATAGTAATAACTGAATTACAGAGGTTAATTACACTGAAGGGGTCGTTGTACCCCAGGTACGTTCCTGTATACAGAAAACGTACCTTGGCTATAATGAGAATACAGAAACGTACCCTAGGACGATTCCATTCCCATTGTGTCATATTCTTGACCGGAACTGTCATACTGTTGTATTAGATACATTTGATTGCGTTATGTAAGTAATGAGAATACATAGTAACAGATATTTCGCGATGCACATGAACACCACTCGGAATCAGTTGAACGGGAACAACTACATACGGTTTCGGTTTTGGATTGCGGAATATGGACTCGTCTGCCTTTTAGGGTACCGGGTACGTTTCTGTATTTTGACTTTGTTCAGGGTACATATCTGTATACAGAAACGTACCTGGGATACGTATCTGTAGTACCTGTGCCGACAACGACCCCTTCAGCGTTAATTACCATATGACATCCTGCATCTTGAAACAGATTCTCTGAGAAAATCATTAATACTAAAAACTAGTCGGACCAACTAGTCTATGTCTAGAAGTACGTTGAACAGTGTTCAATGTTATTTTGCTCAACACTCTTTACATCAGTGAACTCCATTAAAATAGAGACTAGGTCCTTTAATATAATACTCTTGACATTTTAACCAACGTCCCCAAATTAACAAGCACATAACAATGAACAGAAGAATGTAACTTCATTATCGATACATAGAGTGCACAGTGGACAGCTGTAGGAGTCTGTTCCGAAATGGAATGAGAGAACAAATCGTCTTCGTTGCATCCAAGCGTAAAAACTAAATGATGTGTGACTGATATTAGAACAATAATGACTGAATCTCACAGTTGTATGTACACCTGAACCATCCTTGTAGTGAATGTTGTCAATTTTCGCGCAATATTTCACTTCCGGTACGCTTGGCTCCGTCTCATTTAATTTCAAGTAGGAATAGCGCTGAAAGAGGGAACCAGTTTACTATCTCAGTAATTATTGGTTGTTGCGTTTAGTTGGTAACCAATCGTAAAAGAGGAATTCGTTTTACCCGTGTCTGAAACATGGTTGCGCCCATGAACACATGTGTTTATGTTTCTTTGAAAGCAATGAATGAGTGATCTCAGCAGCTGTTGTACCCTTCAGATTTGACATTGTACTGTTACAGTTGTAATTGTAAGTATTTATGTCAGTGCACGAAGCTGACATGTACGCGTCGTTCTTAGCTGAGCACTGGAAAGGTGAAATTAGATGAAAGTATGAGATGACGATTTACTGTTAATACTGACTGTCGATGCATCTAGTAAAATAGTCACTTATCATTTGCCGGTAGATATGCTTACATTGTGAGAGATAATGTGCATGAAGTGTGATGATTTTAACAATCAAACCATAAACATTTAGTATAGAAAACCAATCTCTAACAATAAGCAAAAGATCACAAACAATTCAATTCAGTTATAGCATCTTTCTAATGTTCTTGAAATATATTCTCAGACGAGCTCATTATTTCCAGCGGGGTGTTTATAGAGTACCTATTCACCATCAGTACTTGCTGAAGGCGAGTTGGGATGTAGGAGAATTGTGAAGTAGGCGAAATGAGAAGCAACCCAAACATGTATACTATCTTTTATGGAAAAAGTAGCTTACACCTCTGTGCATAATGTTCTGAATAGTAAGTTCAACCATACCTTATAAGTTCAAAAGGTGTCACATTTATTCATGTGAATTTATTGACTATAATTGTTACAGCAAACTGAAGATGGGGGAGTTTAGGGTGCACCATATTCGCTTCTTCGAGTACAAACCCAAGGCAATTCACTGTCTCGCTTATACAAAAGAATGGAAGAGACTAGCTGTTTCACGGTAAGAGAAAAGCATGACTGCATGAATTCCATCAACATCTTTAGTGTTCTTTCAGTTCTTCTCCTTGGACACCATTTAACTACAGAAATGCGTAACTGTACACAAATACAAAGATACTTATAGCCCATGTATCCCATAAATTCTGTGGATTGAACTTGTTCTGTATGTTCCTGTGTGTATATATATATAGTCACAATTTGTTTTCTTAAATGAGATTAATATTTGTCATGTTTGTGATATGATTTTCTATTCTATATTATTTTCAATGATAACATCCCATGTATTTGAAGTTATAGTAGTGATTTGATTTTACAGATCTGACGGCTCACTGGAAATATGGAGTGAACAAGACAAGTGGTTTCAAGAAAGGGTAGGCTAATGGAGAAAAACATTGAACACTGTGTACAAATCGGGACCTGTTCCTTATATGTTGTCACGATATGGCTGAAATATTGCCGATGTGACGTTAAATAATAACTCACTCACTCACTCCTTACATGTTCATTAACACTACCAATAAAGTTTTCTAAAAGTTTTAAGGTAATGAACAGATCTACTTTGTCAAGGGCACGGGTCGGTGTAATATAAAGACTAGTTTCCAAGGATTGAGTGAATATTATGTTTTTCACTTCATTTTATGGTGAAATTCTTACTGCAAGAATTCCATCAACATCTTCTGAAGCCTATTTCTGGTGTCCCCGGCCGGAATATTGCTAAAAGCAGCTTAAAACCAAACTCAGTCAGTCAGTCCATCAACATCTTCAGTATTTCGGTTCTTCTCCTTGGACACCATTAAACTGCAGAAATGTACATAATGTACTTCTGATGAGCAAGAAGAGTTATTTTTTTGTTTTCTTTTATATTATCTACAAAATAAAACAATTTGGCAAGAGGTAAATGCCTATTAATTTGTGTATTATCATAATAAACATAGTAAAATGAAATTTGTTTTGAACATGGGCCTGGCATTTTTATGTGTATTAGACTATAAATAACAAATTAAAGGTTGCATGCTGTAAGTATAATGTAACCATTAAGCAACATGTAAGACTTAAGTACATTTTGTTATCAAACTATTTTTTGGTACATGTTTTTAAGTGAATTAACAAGTAGATTAATTATGTCCTCACGCATTTGACAGGTTATTCCAGGAAGTGGAGATCGGTCAATTGAAGCTGTGATATGGCAAGGGAAGCGACTCTTCACAGCAGGACTTGATGGCGAGGTGACAGAATATGATTTGATCAAACTGCAGGCCATGGTGAGTGATCTTTTATTAATTTGTCATCATGATTATTCAGGGACATATCTCGAGCCTTGCTTACAGGTTTTGTCAGTAGAAAAGGTGCCATTAGTAAGCTCTGTTTAAAAAAAAGTAGGATATCAGAAGTAAATGGGTGCATAGCCGTATCTGCTAGGCAAGGCTGAGACATATTATCGTGGGATCAGTTCCCAGACTCGCCCGGATTAGGTTCAAGGTTTGTTAGCACCGTGGGCATGAGTTTCACCAAGAGGAAAATATCTAAAGCCTGCATCATTTTGGGTTTTCCTCCATATTAAACTGACAAGCTGTGATATAACTAAGGAACTGTTGAAAGCAGTATTTTACCAGATTGATGCTGGCTTCTACTGATATGGTAACCACCATGTCTCTATGAAGTTTGCTCTTTTTCCCATCAAAGGAGAAAAGATGCTCACACTGTCAGTCATAGGTTTGTTTCTCCTGGCCTAAGGTATCTGGAATAAGATGAAGTGTTGCCGGCATCCCATTTAGCCCAAAACTGTGTTCTCTTTTCAGCGCTCTGCCTTTTCCCATGCAGGACCTATTTGGTGTCTTACACAGAATTCCAGTGGGACAAGACTAGCTGTGAGTCTGCCTATATTGATTCCTGGAAGTGTAATAGTCTGGTGTTTAGAATGATTATAACTTGTAACTCAAACAGATCACAAGATTTATATTTTGAATTACTTGTTGTGATAGGTCTTTGATAGGCTTTTAGAAGTTAAAAGAACATAAAAACATTTTTAGGATAAAAACTAAATTATTCTTTGTAACGTCACTTCAGGGCTTTTGCTTGTTCCTTCATCAGGTGAAATCTGAGTAAATGTTTTATTTATACAAGCTGCTTGTTCCTTCATCAGGCGAAATCTTAGTAAATGTTTTATTTATACATGCTGATTGTTTTACTCAAGGTGGGAATAATGTGAAGTGGTTGAATTCTGAGCGTGGGCATATTTGTCGACGTTTCGTAAATCAGTTTTAACTGTCATATTTCAAGTATGTGCTTTTCATACTTAATGCAGTGTTGCTCTACTTTCAGGCAGGGACGGAAGATGGCTGTGTGGTTTTATTTGATATTGAAATGGACAATCTACAGTACCTGAAGTCATTTGACAAACAAGAAGGTAACACTTTTCGTGTTCATTGAAGTCATTTTAGTTATGGTCAAAGGGAGACAACACATGACTGTTAATGTTGTTTATTATTTCAAAGATACACTCATATTTAACCTAATCCTCTTTGGTATAAAGTTAACAGTAGATGTATATAGATGTGAATATGTTGTCCAAACAATGAGTTGGTTTGTATCTCTTGTACTAAAAGAATTATTTCAGTGGTCTGTCATTGTTTTTTAGTCAGGTTCAGTCGGAATATTCTGATGCAATCTGATGAGTTATTTTGCCCATAGGTTTTCATGGTTCAAAATATGTGCACATTTACATAAATTGGCCTTTACCTATGGAATGTGATTTGGTAATAATACAAATGATAATCAGAAGATTTTAATTAAAGTACATGAACAGAAACAAAGGAATAATGATGTGAAATCATTGGCCAATGGGAGACAACTTGTGATCAGGACATAGTTGTCTCCCTTTGTCCATGATTTCACGTATTGAGGAAGAGGGTTAAAAATTTCTGGTCAAGATTTGTTTCAGCTGATATTATTTAATGTAAATGAGTTATATTTTCACAAGTATAATTTCCGTTTTTTACCCAAATATCATATGTTACACCCTCACTTTATAGCTGTTTGTTGATTGTTTAACACCTCTCTCAGCAATGTTCCAGCAATATGGCGGCGGTCTGTAAATAATTGAGTCTGGAACTCAACTCATTTATGTTTGAAAACTGTGCATGCTCAGTGTAACACACCTGAGATGACTGTAAGCTATGGTTGATGTTGTAGGTCGTATTTTGTCCATCGCTTGGCATGAGGGTGAGAACATTATAGTGACCGGAGGAGTGGACAATATCCGTTTGTGGAGTGCCAGCTCTGGACATGCTATCCAGCGACTGACCATCGGCCGAGAAGAGGTCTCTAAAGAGACCATCGTGTGGTGTGTCACCGTCACAAGGTAGGGGATACTGGGGAAGGTTTTCACATATACTATATTGCTTTGTGTTTAGTTTGTCATGTAATTTGATGGTTGTTACCATGGTTACAGTGACCTGACAGTCATCAGTGGAGACTCCCGTGGGAAGACATGCTTCTGGAACGGCAAGATGGGAACTCTCATTCGGGTAAGTTGTTGCAGGAGTGATAACTCCACACACATGATACCACAGAGCTGATGTCACCCTATACTCTCTCGCATGTCTAGCCATATTACACCATTAACGTGTGTCTGGCCATATTACACCATTAACGTGTGTCTAGCCATATTAAACCATTATGGTGTGTCTAGCCATATTACACTGTTAACGTGTGTGTCTAGCCATATTACACCATTAACGTGTGTCTAGCCATATTACACATCACGTGCTGAGACGTATTACACTGTGACATCTCCAGCCACAGTTTACATTCTCCTGTCTAGTTATGTTACACCACCATGACTTATATACTGTCCTAAGTGTTGTGTTATTGTGTTACACCACCATGACTTGTATACTGTCCTAAGTGTTATGTTATTGTGTTACACCACCATGACTTGTATACTGTCCTATGTGTTGTGTTATTGTGTTACACCATCATGACTTGTATACTGTCCTAAGTGTTGTGCTATTGTGTTACACCACCATAACTTGTATACTGTCCTAAGTGTTGTGTTATTGTGTTACACCACCATGACTTGTATACTGTCCTAAGTGTTATGTTATTGTGTTACCACCCTGACTTGTATACTGTCCTAAGTGTTGTGTTATTGTGTTACACCACCATGACTTGTATACTGTCCTAAGTGTTATGTTATTGTGTTACACCACCCTGACTTGTATACTGTCCTATGTGTTGTGTTATTGTGTTACACCACCATGACTTGTATACTGTCCTAAGTGTTGTGTTATTGTGTTACACCACCCTGACTTGTATACTGTCCTAAGTGTTGTGCTATTGTGTTACACCACCATAACTTGTATACTGTCCTAAGTGTTGTGTTATTGTGTTACACCACCATGACTTATATACTGTCCTAAGTGTTGTGTTATTGTGTTACACCACCCTGACTTGTATACTGTCCTAAGTGTTATGTTATTGTGTTACACCACCCTGACTTGTATACTGTCCTAAGTGTTGTGTTATTGTGTTACACCACCCTGACGTGTATACTGTCCTAAGTGTTGTGTTACACCACCATGACTTGTATACTGTCCTAAGTGTTGTGTTATTGTGTTACACCACCATGACTTGTATACTGTCCTAAGTGTTGTGTTATTGTGTTACACCACCCTGACTTGTATACTGTCCTAAGTGTTGTGTTATTGTGTTACACCACCATGACTTGTATACTGTCCTAAGTGTTATGTTATTGTGTTACACCACCCTGACTTGTATACTGTCCTAAGTGTTGTGTTATTGTGTTACACCACCCTGACTTGTATACTGTCCTAAGTGTTGTGTTACACCACCATGACTTATATACTGTCCTAAGTGTTATGTTATTGTGTTACACCACCATGACTTGTATACTGTCCTAAGTGTTATGTTATTGTGTTACACCACCCTGACTTGTATACTGTCCTAAGTGTTATGTTATTGTGTTACACCACCCTGACGTGTATACTGTCCTAAGTGTTATGTTATTGTGTTACAGAGTTTCCAGAGCCACAAGGCCGACGTGTTGTCTCTCTGTCTCAATGAGGTACGTTCATCAAGATCTTGTCATGTTTTTTGTCTGTCTTTCCTTAATTACCCATGAAGGTCCGGGTTACAATTGATCTTCAGTAACCCATGCTTGTTGTAAGAGGTGACTAACGGGATCGGGTGGTCAGGCTCATTGACTGGGTTGACACATGTCATCGTATCCCAATTGCGTAGATCGTTCATGCTGTTGATCCCTGGATTGTCTGGTCCAGACTCGATTATTTACCGTACATAACCGTCTATAAGCCGAATTTTGAGGACCAAAAAAAGCAGTCTGTAGAAGGGGGTCGTCTTACCCATGGGTTACGCTTTCGTCAAACTTTTTTCCAGGGGTAAGAAAACAACATCGTATCACTTCGCATGAACAAACAACAGAAGACGACTTTGTCAGTAGAGACGTCAAATTTGCAATTAAACATCACTAGACAAGATTATTTACCTTTTAAGTTATAAGTTGTTTTTGCTGGGCATTGTATTATTTACAGGGATTAAGGTAACCGTGTGTATCTGAGCCGGAAATAGCAATCAGCTGTGCACCGTTTCCGGTGAACAAGTTCAAACATGCACAATAATATAGCGGAACGAGATTCGAATTCTGGATGAGTCATCAGTAAAATATAATACAGAATACTATTATTTAACCCAAAGAAATATATCCTAGCATTGTGTAATTTTAGTTACAGTTTTGGCTCTATAAATTAATTAAAATTACCGTGTGTATTTGAGCCGGAAATAGCAATCAGCTGTGCACACGTTTCCCGGCGAACAAGTTCAAACATGCACAATAATATAACAGGATGAATTTTGACGCAGTCGTCAGTAAAATATAATACAGAATACTATTATTTAACCCAAAGAAATATATCCTAGCATTGTGTAATTTTATTTACAGTTTTTATGTAAAATATATATAATCAACACTAAGGTTATACGGACCCTCATGAACGTGGTAAGCAGAAGTTGTACGCACATGGAATGGGGTAAAATACGGAAGCCATTTAAATTCACACATTTTTACCAATGTTACTGTAAACTAGCAGTCAATGGAAAACGAGGCGGTAATCAGTTCGTGATTGTTGAATTGGGTAAAATAAGCAAGCCAGTTTGTTGCTACAATAAATATGATATTTAGAGAAGCAAAATATATTATGCATTTTCTGTACACTTCGTTGCGATCCGTGAGTAGACACAATATATATGACTGTGAATCCTTTGAATAATGTGGTCCAAAGTTATAATTATTGGTAACTGCCAGTTGTCTGTGGTCTGTGTTTGCCGCGATTAGGACCCCATCGCGTGGGATCGACTTATGCACGAAACATACTATTTTGACACTGATTTTAAGGGTCAAGTTTGGGGGTCGTCTTATCCATGGGGTCGTCTTATAGACGGTCATATACGGTACAGACTGCCGCCATATAGCTGGAATAAGGCTGAGTGTGGCGTAAAACTAAACTCACTCACTTATTCTTTCCTTAATTACAGGGAAACTACTCACTCCCTTAACTCAGTAGACTGTGTAAGACTAGCTTAAACTATTGTCACTGCGGAATCCATATGTTCACCCTTGCTTCACAGATTGCTCAGATTATCCAAGATGACAGCTAACAATCCCGTTCATTATGTATAAATCTTTAGTCCTGCTTCATTTCAATATACATGATAAAAATACAAGCACTGTAGTTGACAATGTGACCCAGACAGAGATTGGTTTCAATTCTGTTGTCCATAATAGGGTAGTTGCAAGTCTCGTCAAACTAGACATTTAGTACAATTTGCAGATTTGTAAACAGGGCATGTTCCTCCCCAATGCTATTCAACTTCTGATGGGGGTTCTAGTGACGGACTGATGGCTCGTAAAGGATGTTGCTGGAGTAGTGATGGGATATTGCTGGAGTAGTGATGGGATATAGCTGGAATATCACTGGAATAGTGATGGCATATTGCTGGAGTAGTGATGGAATATTGCTGGAGTAGTGATGGGATATTGCTGGAGTAGTGATGGGATATTGCTGGAGTAGTGATGGGAAATTGCTGGAGTAGTGATGGGATATAGCTGGAGTAGTGATGGGATATTGCTGGAATAGTGATGGGATATAGCTGGAGTAGTGATGGGATATTGCTGGAGTAGTGATGGGATATTGCTGGAGTAGTGATGGGATATAGCTGGAGTAGTGATGGGATATTTCTGGAGTAGTGATGGCATATTGCTGGAGTAGTGATGGAATATTGCTGGAGTAGTGATGGGATATTGCTGGAGTAGTGATGGGATATAGCTGGATTATCACTGGAATATTGCTGGAGTAGTGATGGGATATAGCTGGAGTAGTGATGGGATATTGCTGGAGTAGTGATGGGATATAGCTGGAGTAGTGATGGGATATTCTTGGAGTAGTGATGGAATATCACTGGAATAGTGATGGCATATTTCTGGAGTAGAAATGGTTGTTGAAGTGTTGCAGGAGTTGTGCTGGAATATTGCTGGCAAAGGATGGGATCATGCAGGAATGTTGCTGAAAGTTTTTAATACCATCCTCTCTCCCTCCAGCCCTTGTACGGCCATGGTGAGAAGCCAGGGCGTACTATGTCTTGCTCATCAATCTGTTTTATGTTCAGACAGAGGAGAGTTTGTACACAGTAGGAGTGGATCCCACCATTGTCCAGTTTGAGAAGATCATCTATCCTGGGAGAACAACACTGGCAAGTGGACGAGGTCAATCGTCCGGTCCAACCACACCCATGACATCCGAGCCATCGTTCTGTCTGGGGACACCATCATCACAGGAGGTACTGTTTCATGATGTAGTGGGGTGGTAGACATGAACCACGACCCCATGGGGTTGCCAGGTTATGATAGGCTTTACCCATGAAGGTCCGGGTTAGAATATTGATCTTCAGTAACCCATGCTTGTCGTAAGAGGCGACTAACGAGATCGGGTGGTCAGGCTCGTTGACTTGGTTGACACGTCATCGGTTCCCAATTACACAGATCGATGCTCATGATGTTGATCACTGGATTGTCTCGTCCAGACTTGAATACTTACAGACCGCTGCCGTGTTGCTGGAATATTGCTGAGTGCGGCGTAAAACTAAACTCACTCACTCACTATGATAGGCTTTAGGCAAGAGATGACCAGATGGATTGAGGCCATATCTCCCTCCCTCCCTCCCTGGTCAACATGGAGACACTATACCATCCATTTCTGAGAGAGTATCCATGTTAAACTGCATCGTGTTGTCTCGATGGGCTGGAACTGTGAAAACAGCATGAATCTGAACTGGTTCAAGCAGCCCCACTCAAACACACGCGCACGCGCACACAGTGCATGCTGTCACTGTGTCTGTGCTATTATCTGACACAATTCACTCAGTCTCAGATGTCTACCCGTGAAGATACAGGTTAGAATTGATCTTCAGTAACCCATGCTTGTCGTAAGAGGCGAGGTCAGATCGGTGGTTGGGTGGTCAGGCTCGCTGACTTGTTTGACACATGTCATCGTATCCCAGTTGTGTGGATCAATGCTCATGCTGTTGATCACTGGATTGTCTGGTCCAGACTCAATTATTTACAGACCGCTGTCATATAACTGGAATATTGCTGAGTGTGGCGTAAAACTAAGATCAATCAATCAATCAATCAATCAATCAGATGTCCACATTGTGTCCGTGTGTGTCTGTTGTCAGGTGTTGACACCAACCTGGTCCTGCATGATATCAACCCAGCTAAAGGCAAGGGGAGGAAGGTGCCTGGTCTGCCGCAGGTAATGTCACCTTGTTGTTGACTGTGCTCACAATGAGGTTCCTTCTTCGTAGCAGTTTAGCTTTCACCAGAGTATGAATTCCTCCAACAGAGTAGTTTGCAACAGTCCCCCAACCACACTGATGTTGCAACAACATGAAATGTCCCCCACTGCCATATTGCTGCAACTTGACGTATTTCATCCGAACTCACATACTCCACAAAGCAATGTCAGTATTCCTAGTCTTATTCCCCCAGCGCCCCCTGGTGAGTGTTGCCAAGGATGCAGGCCTGCTGTTGTTGCAGTATCCAACATCCCTGGAGGTATGGCGGCTCGGCGCCACCAAGAGAAAGTCAAGTAAGGAGATGACATGGTTCCGGAATGATAATGACATTCAGTGTGTGATACTTTACTGGAAGAGTGTGACAGAAATAGGAGCTTGCTTGCAAGCAAACATCAGAAACTGTTCCCAGTTACAGGCACACTGAAAACCTGCATCCCAGACATTTAACACAGGACTAAAGTCTTCATCAGTTAATGCTGAAGGTTGACATCCACAGACGCTTTTTATTAGACAATGAAATGTTTAACAACGACACTGAACACCCAACAGGAGCCATGGGTGGTCTGTTCATCTATGGACCGCCTCCATGGTGTAGTGGTTAAAGCGTCCGCCCGGAGAGCGGTAGGTCGCGGGTTCAATCCCCGGCCGCGTCATACCAAAAGACATTCAAATATGGTACTTGTTGGTCCCTGCCTGGCGCTCGGCATTAATGGGTACATCAAGGACTGGTCGGCTCGGAGTCAGTATAATGTGTCTGAGTGGGGTATTCATGCTTCACTGCGGCATGGTATCTCAGTGGGCTAGCACTATAAAACCAGCTTAAGTCTGGGCTAGTACAAGCAGCCGCACATACACATAGACACGCATGCACGTCGTCTTATGAGCGAAATATTCTCCAGAGCGACGTTAAACCCAATTCCACCTCACTTCACCTGTTCATCTATGGCACCACAACTTGCATTTGTTTAAAATCCAGCTTTTGTCACCCATGAAGATCCAGATTAGAATTGGTCTTCAGCAACCCATCCTTGTATGAGGCGACTAACGGGATTGGGTGGTCAGGCTCACTGACTTGGTTGACACATTGTATCCCAATTGTGAAGATCCATGCTCATGCTGTTGATCACTGGATTGTCTGGTCGAGACTTGATTATTTACAGACCGCCGCCATAGAGCTGGAATATTGCTTAGTGCAGCATTAAACAACCAACCAACAGCTTTCATCCTTATTATGTTTCAAGGTTTAGTACCATACCTATTGCTGTGGGTTTCACCTGAGACCTGCATGACCTTGGGTCTTTCTCCAGCATCAAGCTGGCATACATCAAAACAAGCTTACTCACTGATAGCATTCTCAATAGGTGAGGTGAGATGAAATTGGGTTTTACGTCATGCTTGAGAATATTTCGCTCATATGACAACGTGCATGCGTGTGTATGTGTATATGCGGCTGCTGGTACTAGCCCAGACTTAAGCTGGTGTTATAGTGCTAGCCCACTGAGATACCATGCCGCAGTGAAGCAGGAATACCCCACTCAGACACATTATACTGACTCTGAGCTGACCAGTCCTTGTTGTACCCATTAATGCCGAGCGCCAGGCAGGGACCAACAAGTACCACATTTTAACGTCTTTTGGGGGATCGAACCCGCGACCTTCCGCTCTAACCACTACACCATGGAGGCGGTCCGCATTCTCAATAGCCTGCCATGCGACAACTACATATTACATTGCAGATATCCATGGGGAAATTCTGCCGCTGGACACCAAGCCACTGAAACTGGTCCAGCTGAAGGCCAAGATAGGAGAATGTGTCGTCTGCAGTGCCATCGCAGCTGATGGGTCTCTGATTGGCTACTCAGATGAGAGGAGTATCCGGCTGTACAACTTTACTGTGGTTAGTTGTCATTCATATATCATCCTTTTATTGCCACTGATTTGGTTTGGTTGTTTAACGCCCCACTCAGCAATATTCTCGCTATATGGCGGCGGTCTGGACCAGACAGTCCAGTGATCAACAGCATGAGCATCGATCTACACATTTCGGAACCGATGACGTGTCAACCAAGTCAGCGAGCCTGACCACCCGATCCCGTTAGTCGCCTCTTAGGCCATGCATGGGTTACTGAAGATCAATTCTAACCCGGATCTTCAGGGGTTATGGTTAACTGACTTGACCAAATATGACTATGTAAAGACAGTGTGGGGATTCTAGGTTAGTGTAGGTCCCCAGCAAACTGCTTGTCATAATAGGCGACTAAATCAAATGCATGTAGTTTTCATTTTACGTGACTTGGTTGATTGCGTGTCATTGTAACAAGATGGCTGTTGCTCACCATATCAGTCACTGGTTTGTCTGGTCCAGACTGACCCGTGAAGATCTGGGTTACAATTGAACTTCAGCAACCCAAGAGGCGACAAACGGGATCGGGTAGTCAGGCTCCCTGACTGGGTTGACACAATTGCATAGATCAATGTTCATGCTGTTGATCCCTGGATTGTCTGGTCCAGACTCGATTATTTACAGAGTACAGCGTTAGGCAACAAGCAGATATGCAAACATTTTCTTTGAGAAGTTTCTTGTGCCACATTATTTACTCCTTTTGAGCGGTGGGGTAGCCTAGTGGCTAAAGTGTTCGCTTGTGACACCGAAGACTCGGGTTCGATTCACCACATGGGTACAATATGTGAAGCCCATTTCTGGTGTTCCCAGCCTTGATATTGCTAGAATATTGCTAAAAGCGGCTTAAAACCAAACTCACTCACACACTCTTTTGTGAATTTGTCTCTTCTCAGTTTGAAAGATTCCTCGGATTAAATCGCAATATGGATGAAATAAAGCTGAAGTGACATTAAATTTTAACTCACCATGATGCATGTCATTCCCATAGAAAATGTTCTTTGTGTGGTAACTTGTAACATATGTTATATTTGGGATTACACTTTGAACCCACACCCTCAGAGTCAGGCACTTAATCGCCAGCACACAAAGTCAGACGCCTAGACCGCTCAGCCACCGCGGCTTCCACAAAGCTGGTAACTTGACATGGTCCAATGTTCATGTTCCTTTGATATTTCCACATATTTACTTCTCTTGTCATTTCAGAATGAATCAGATGCCCTTCAACCAGTTGTGACCTTGACCCGAATTAAGGTCATTGATGAAGACATCATGCCAGCTCATCTCATGAGATTTAACGTCCACAAGCAACTCATCTCAGCCTCATGTTCAGCAGCTGTTCAAGTTATAGATGTCAAGGACACTGAGGTCAAGGTCAATCACACGTTCCAACCACTGAAAGGTCAGTTTCCTTCATATGTATTTCATAGACATGGCACTTGTATCCCATGAGAAACTGGGACAATTGATGCAATGTCAATTGCCGAGTTATTCCTGAAACTACCATTTTCTTCCCATGGTGGCACAACTGGCCCAATCTTTGGTGCCACAGTTAGCTGTGCTGTCTCTTGGACATGCCAGAGCCTGTGAGCTTGGGCTGACACTAAGTTCATCATGGTGCCGTTTCTGGGTTCGTTTGCATCATACTCAAGTCTGTGGGTTTTACCGAAGTGATAAATGTCTGAGACCTCCATTACTCATGTTAAACGCAGCATTTAACTCAACTCACTCATCTCTCATTCACTCACTTGAAGCCATGTAACCATGACAACATTAATTATGTACATTAATCAGAGGTCCATAAATCTTCGGAATAACTTCGAACAGAAAACATCTCTAATTGGTTAATTTTGACATGTGCAATTATTGGGGAAATATGAAAATTGTGTTTTCCCACCTTGACCAATGAGAGCCAATTTCTGTTTCCAAGTTATTCAGAGATTTACAGAAACTGTCGATGTTAACGAAGAGACCAAACATTTGTTCAAAGCAGAGGGTAATGCTAATTTGAGGGTCAATGGTCAAATATGAAATGCAGTTAGACAAATTGAATAACGATGAGCAGAAAGGTAAAAGTATGACCTACAAGCTCAACACAATTTATTAGTGTGAAAAATGTAAGGTTTTGATTGAACCGCATGCGTGAAAATAGTGAGGCTGCCCAGTTTTCATCAGGTTTTAAGTATCGGAGGTGTCACCTTGCGTGCTTTATATAATAGTGTTAACGTGGTAGAGTTTTCTAAAATTGTGTCAGACAGGATTATTGTCTAATGTCACAATGGGTTATTATCTAATATCTATATCACAATGGATTGTTGTCTAATATCACAATGGATTACTGTCTAATATCTGGATTACTATCACACTGGATTATTGTCTAATCATCACACTGGATTATTGTCTAATATCACACTGGATTATTGTCTAACATCACACTAGATTATTGCTAATAACACTGGATTATTGTCTAATATCACACTGGATTATTGTCTAATATCACAATGGATTATTGTCTAACACAACACTGGATTATTGTCTAATATCACACTGGATTATTGTCTAACATCACACTGGATTATTGTCTAATATCACAATGGATTATTGACAATGGATTATTGTCTAATATCACAATGGATTATTGTTGTCTAATATCACACTGGATTATTGTCTAACATCATTGTCTAACATCACACTGGATTATTGTTGTCTAATATCACACTGGATTATTGTCTAATATCACACTTGATTATTGTCTAATATCACAATGGATTATTGTCTAATATCACACTTGATTATTGTCTAACATCACGCTGGATTATTGTCTAATATCACAATGAATTATTGTCTAATATCACAATGGATTATTGTCTAATATCACACTGGATTATTGTTTAACATCACACTGGATTATTGTCTAATATCACAATGGATTATTGTCTAACATCACACTGGATAATTGTTGTCTAATATCACACTGGATTATTGTCTAATATCACACTGGACTATTGTCTAGCATCACACTGGATTATTGTCTAATATCACGCTGGATTATTGTCTAATATCACACTCGATTATTGTCTAATATCACACTTGATTATTGTCTAACATCACACTGGATTATTGCCCAATATCACACTGGATTATTGTCTAATATCACACTGGATTATTGTCTAACATCACACTGGATTATTGTCTAATATCACACTCGATTATTGTCTAATATCACAATGGATTATTGTCTAATATCACAATCGATTATTGTCTAACATCACACTCTATTATTGTTGTCTAATATCACACTGGATTATTGTCTAATATCACAATGAATTATTGTCTAATATCACGCTGGATTATTGTCTAATATCACAATGGATTATTGTTTAACATCACACTAGATTATTGTTTAATATCACACTGGATTATTGTCTAACATCACACTGGATTATTGTTGTCTAATATCATGCTGGATTATTGTCTAATATCACAATGGATTATTGTCTAATATCACACTGGATTAATGTCTAACATCACACTGGATTATTGTCTAATATCACACTCGATTATTGTCTAATATCACACTAGATTATTGTCTAACATCACACTGGATTATTGTCTAATATCACACTGGATTATTGTTGTCTAACATCACACTGGATTATTGTCTAATATCACACTGGATTATTGTCTAATATCACACTGGATTATTGTCTAACATCACACTGGATTATTGTCTAATATCACACTCGATTATTGTCTAATATCACAATGGATTATTGTCTAATATCACAATCGATTATTGTCTAACATCACACTCGATTATTGTTGTCTAATATCACACTGGATTATTGTCTAACATCACAATGAATTATTGTCTAATATCACGCTGGATTATTGTCTAATATCACACTGGATTATTGTTTAACATCACACTAGATTATTGTTTAATATCACACTGGATTATTGTCTAACATCACACTGGATTATTGTTATCTAACATCACACTGGATTATTGTTGTCTAATATCACGCTGGATTATTGTCTAATATCACAATGGATTATTGTCTAATATCACACTGGAGTATTGTCTAACATCACACTGGATTGTGTCACAATATCACATTATTGTCTAATATCACACTGGATTATTGTCTAACATCACACTGGATTATTGTCTAATATCACACTGGATTATTGTCTAATATCACACTGGATTATTGTCTAATATCACACACTGGATTATTGTCTAATATCATAATGGATTATTGTCTAATATCAAACAGGATTAAATTTAAATTTTCCACATCTCCTGAGAAACTACAGAACCGTTTAGGACAACAATGGTAGAGTTGAAACCTTTGTAAAATGATGCCAGCTGCAGTGTCTCTAAAATTTCACTCAGAGTTCTGGTATTAAAATATGACAGAAGCTTTTCCTCTGTAATTTAACTTCACAGTCTTGTCACTCTTTTTTTGTCTGGCATCAGTCAATGACAAGTTGATGGTCTCCATGGCAGAGGCCCAGATAAGCTGCGTATCCGGGCAAAATATGCATAGAATTACTCATTTGAAAATAATTATTGTGTACCAACTTCACGCATTTAAAATGTTAGATCGCAGAAAGTTTAAAACAAATGCGTCGCGAATATATTTATAAATGCTTGGGGAG